GGAGGATACTTTGGATTACTTGATCTGCTGTAGAGTAGCAAAGGCTAAGATGGTTTAGTCCTGGTTTAGACCTGGTTTAGACCTGGTTTAGATCTAGTTTAGACCTGGTTTTAGTCCTGGTTTAGACCTGGTTTAGATCTAGTTTAAAAGTAGTTTAGACCTGGTCTTAGTCCTGGTCTTAGTCTTGGTTTAGCTCTAGTTTAGATGTAGTTTAGATGTAGTTTAGACCTGGTTTTTGTCCTGGTTTTAGTCCTGGTTTTAGACCTGGTTTAGACCTGGTTTAGATCTAGTTTAGACCTGGTTTTAGTCCTGGTTTAGACCTGGTTTAGATCTAGTTTAAAAATAGTTTAGATCTGGTCTTAGTCCTGGTCTTAGTCTTGGTTTAGCTCTAGTTTAGATGTAGTTTAGATGTGGTTTAGACCTGGTTTTTGTCCTGGTTTTAGTCCTGGTTCAGATCTGGTTTAGACCTGGTTTAGATTTAGACCTGGTTTTAGTCCTGGTTTAGACCTGGTTTTAGTCCTGGTTTAGATCTGGTTTAGATCTAGTTTAGATCTAGTTTAGTTTCCGACACTGAGTGGAATTACTGAAAAAAAAAAAAAAAGTGAAAACAGGAAAACAGAAAAATACCACCATGTAATCCATTTATTTCAACAAAGTAACTGTAATCCAATTACCACTCACTGAAACAGTAACTGTAACTGAATACTGTTACTCATAATTTGTACTCTGATTACGTAACTCCAGTACATGTAATCCGTTACTCCCCAACACTGTATATTACGCAGAATTGACTCTTTGTTTTCTCATTAAAAACATACCTGGAGTTGTGTTTTGTTTCATTCACACGTTTAAGTAATCCTTTATTATTAGTCTGGCACAAAATGCTCTGTTCTACCTTGTGATGTCATGAAGTGGTAGGTTTCAAGTTAACAGATACTTTTTACCTTTTGTTCAGTAGCGATGGGAAATTCCAGGGCTGAAGTCATCCAAATAATTCTTGTGAAGGTGAATAAAAACACAGTGGAGCACTTCCTGTATTACCACATGACATCACAAGGTGGAACAGAGTGTGGATTTGTGTGTTAATGAAACAAAGCACAACTTCAGATATGTTTGTTATGAGGAAAAAACGTTATTAGAGATCAGAAAATAGCGTAATAGGGGCCCTTTAAATTTATGTAAATGCTAGGTAGATCAGTTTAATGCTATACTGTGGGACATTCAAGCCAAAGCAATAAGATCTACATGGAGAATGGAACAGTCCGAGCGTCACTGCAAAGCATCAGTAAGATAATGGAACTAGAAAAACCTCATTTTGTGTTGAAAATTAAATAATATTTTAGTGTCGTGACAACATTAAAATTCCACAATTCTATGAAATGGGAAGCCTTTATAACTTTACATCAGAAGGATTTGTTTGTCTTGAAATATTATTGAAGATGAAAACAACTGGTTTATGAGTGATAAGTGCTCAGTGTGGCCTTGTTTACAGTGATATTTTGTACTGCAGGAAGTAAATATGTTTTTAAAGTAATGCAGTGGTGTTTTTCTGCCAGGTTTTTGAGGCTCAAATCAAAGTAAAGTCTGAAGTGTTTGTGTCATCAGAGGCTTCCCTTTGCAAAGTGAAACTGGAGATGTTTTCTGTCCAAACACCCACACACAGCTGCTCCCCATCATGTCTGTTCACCAGTGTGGAGGAAACCAGAACTGAACCAGCACTAAAACAGGACTGAACCAGGTCTAAATCAATACTGAACCAGGACTGAACCAACACTGAACCAGGACTAAACCAGGGCTATACCAATACTAAACCAGGACTGAACTAGGACTAAACAAGGACTCAGCCAGGACTGAACGGGGACTAAACCAGGGCTAAACCAAGATTAAACCAGGACTGAACCAGCACTGAACTAGGACTAAATCCGGACTAAACCAGGACTAAAGCAGGACTAAACTAGGACTGAACCAAGACTAAATCAGGACTCAGCCAGGACTGAACCAGGACTGAACCAGATCTAAACAAGGACTCAATCACAATTAAACCAGGACGAATCCAGGATTTAAGCAGGACTAAACCGGGACTGAGCCAAGATTTAACCAGTCAACTAAATGACTAAATTACTTGGAAATATTAATCTGGATTTGAGTAGTTCTAATTATTTGCATTTAGTACTGGATTTTGTACATAGAGAAAGCAGGACGGATGAAACTGTGCTAGCCTCAAAATAATATAAATTATGAATATTATTTATACAGCGCTTGTCTGTACACACAAAGACTCTTTGCACTTTGCATTATTTATTCACTTCGTATTTGGTGGTGTCTTCTGTAGTCACAGCTGCCCTGGGGCAGCCAGGCTGGCTCCACCTAGTGTCTCCACTCAATTTAATTTCTCTCCAGTGACTAGGTCAGGAATCAGAATACACTAACGGTTTGCAAGAACCCTGTAAGTGCCAGTCCGGGCACCAGACAATTAGCGAAGAGCCATTGGAATCATTGTCATTCTGTGTTGGCAACGATTCCAAGAAACCGCCTGATGAATCAGGCTGGCCCTGGGCTGGACTGATGGAAGAAAGGCTTCCAATCCACCCCATTGCCTCATCCAACCACCAATCACTCACTCACACTTGAGATTTATACACAGCTAGGTGAGCCATGTCCTGTGTGCTGACAGATGCCTGTCATATGATGAGAACATGTATCGTCAGTGTCTCATGTTGTACTCACAGGCTGATGCTGTCAGACAGACATTTGGCTCCAGTTCTGTTTGAGTTAGTCACTTTATTTTGAGCACACTGCACCTCTCTCTACACTGCACATCTGAACTATGAAAAGTCCTGCTTACTGAGACTGAGAGGGGCACACAAAGATGCTCTTAGACTCCTGTTAAAAGGCCCAGATGGACCAGTGCCAGTGAACTGTGTGTGTACGAGGATTAAACCAAGACTAAACTAATGTCAGGACTAAAACAGACCTAAATCGCTGCCTTTTTGAACCACACTGGGACTAAACCAAGACTCAACAGCTGCTCACCCATCACTTTTAATCTCAATGCATTCAGGAGGCTTGCTTGCACTGCCCATTTAAAGTGCTTGTTGCTCTGATCTCCACCTTCATCCCAAATGCTCCCTCAGCCCCCCTCCTCTTCCTCTGTCTCCTCTCGCTCATCCTATTAGGACTCTCCCGGGGGAACCATGTGTGTACGCTATGTTTGTGAAGGAGGATCACAGCTGAGCCATACGAGGCTAAAGCCAGCAACCCACAAATATAACTCCCATCTCAGACCCTGATCCCTCCTCTCCCTCCACCATCACAAAATGAAACCGGACAGATGATTTTACACTTTTACTGAACTTTTAAAAGGTTAAAGACAGAAAAAGATAGGGCCATAAAAGTCCAGAGCTGGAAAATGTCACTGCATCTCTTGTACTATTTAGGTGTTTTGATGGCTAATTTAAAATAGGCTTTATGTAATACAAAGATTTCTGGTCTCTCAACATGCTATAACCTTATGAAATAATAAAATAAAATAACATGACTTGCTTCATGACATTTAACATTTACGTTGCTTTGCTTTCGATTGCTTTTACCATGAACATTGAACATAACTTGACCTATTTGACCTGTTTACCCACTTAAACTTTACCATATAGCATAACATTTACCGTAGTTCCATATAGGAAACCACAATAGTATTACATCTGTTTTGCATTCATTAAGTGCTTCAAATTCTTAATGTTTATTTTCTCAAAACTTAATTATTTCCCAAACGTCATATTGCGGTGTCATTAAGGGCCTGTTTACACAAGAACGATTGCGGGTAAAAAACATCTAAATATTTTATCAGAAATGCCTTTTGTTTAGATGGTGACGGCGTTTTGGGGGCCTAAAAATGCAAAAATCTGAAGCCACCCTCCAGAGTGGGAAAGTTAAATATGCTCCGCTGTAGCATTTCCGTCTACACTGCCCAAGATGCAAAACTCTGATCATGTTGCATTCACGTTTACATCACATACATACAGTACACAGAAACAGTAGCTCTAATAAACTTACATGAGGCATCCCAACAAATGTACAGAATATGCAGAGATACTATTAGTGAACAGAGAAGGATCTGCAATTACCTCTGTCAAATTCTGGATGCGCCAGTTCGTCAAAGGCGAAGCCAGACGGTATGCATACCCAATCAAATTCCCACACACTTTTGCGTCACCGTATGCACGCAGATTTCCTCCCGAAAACACTCGTCTAAATGTGGAATAAAAAGTGAAGGCGCAATGCCACTTTTGCATCTTCTCTTCAGACCATCATCATATAAATGTAGCCTAAAATAAAGGTTAGGGAGCTCCAAAGTCATGTGCGCATCTGTTGCTTCAGTTGCACAATTTGGTGTTTTGACCCAGCATGCAGTCAGAACTTTAATTGGATGTGCATGTCTCTATCTACCAGTATTATTTCTCAAAACTGCTTTCTGTTTCCTGTTCCAAAACATAGCTGGGTCAAAACACCCAGCTTCACCTTCTGACATCATTAGGGGGTAATTCAGCGTACATGTAAAGGTCTAATATGCTTGTGTTCACCGGTACTGTGTGAATAATGCCCTTTTCATATCATTCCTCCTTTAGTTTCTTGTAAAATTGTTAAATATTATGTATTTAGTCAGTGTGAGTTTCCATTGTGACTGGTTGTGTGTATTTCCCATTTTGCAGTAAACAATTTCACTTTCTTTGTCTGAACCAGGACTAAAACAGGACAAAAACAGGATTAAAGCAGGACTGAACCAGGATTGAACAAAGGACTAATAAACTGCAACTGAACAAGGACTTTAATTAGAATAAAAATAAATCAGAAATTTAAAAAAGTCTGCTTGGATTTTATCTTGTTTTAAATCCTTATACATTCAGTCAGTGTGAGTTGACATAAGAGTGGTTGTATACTGTCTTTCCCATTTTGTCGAAGATCACTTCCTGACCCCTCTCTCTCTGTCTGTGTCTGTGCAGAGGGCCCGGTGATTTGGAGAATGCTGACCTATCCTCCAACACGACGCGCTCTCATCGTGGGTTGTGGACTTCAGATGTTCCAGCAGCTTTCAGGAATCAACACAGTCATGTAAGTACTAACATTAAAGAGCACATATACTGTTTGCATTCTTGTTCATTCCATTTTAAACATGCTTTTGGTCAAGCATTTCACATTTTCTAAGTTAAAATAATGTCCACATTTTTACACTTTATGAACTACACCTCTATTTAAAGTGAGCTCCCTCTGCTGTCAGCAATGGGAATTAACAATGAGAAATAAACAAATGAAGCCCTTAAACATGGTGAATGCTGTGCTAATAGAGCCATCCATTGTAGAATGAATGTGGTGATGGTTTTTGGTTTTAAAAATTGTATAGGGGAATTCCAGATTTTTACCTATGACAACACAATCTAGGTAAAATACAAACATTTGTATTTGAGTATTGTATCATATTGAGTATTTTTTGATTTCAGATGAATGGATTAATGAAATCCCATATTTTTCAGACTATAAGTCGCACTTTTTTTCATAGTTTGGGTGTTTCCTGCAATTTATACTCCAGTGAGACATATATATAAAAATTTTCAGACTGACAGCCGCGAGAGAGCACTCTAGGTATGTGTATCAGCATCTGCTGCTCCTGTTACTCCTGTACCACTGTCACTGTGCATGTCTCCTGCAGAAAGAGCCACTGAACACAAATGCCCCCAAAAAGAAAAGCATATTCTGCAGATTACAAGATGCAAGTAGCAAAATCTGCAGCTGAAAACAGTTATCAAGCAGCAGAAAGAAAGTTTGGAGAGAGTGAGAAACTTGTGACAACAAGTGCAACATGCAACTTTCCTGTAAGTCATTGGACTTCAGTGACACTGAAACCATCCTGTTGGGATTCAGAAAAAACAGAATAATTCTAACTGGAACTGATGCTGAGTCTGACGACAGCTACACAGAAGAGGAAGCGGCGCTCTATTTTTCACCTGAGGTCACAGAGTTGCTCAGAAGTGACACTGAGGATGAAGAATTCAATGGATTTAGTGATCTGGAGTGAGATGGAGACTTTGGTAAACTTGTTCTGTTGTTTATGCTGTAGTTATCTGAAGAACTGTTCATATGTGACGTTAACAGTTTGTTGTTCTCTGTTCTACTGTTATTACAATAACTTGCCTTTCAAGATGAAATGTCGGTTCCTGGTCTCTGATTTTATAAAATAAATTTCACCCAAAAAGTGTGACTTATAGTCCGGTGTAACTTATATATGTTTTTTTCTTCATTACAAATTTTTTGGCTGGTGCAACTTATACTCCACAGCAACTTATTGTGAAAGTAGTAAAATACAACTCCAGGTACATTTATGATAAGAGGACCACATATAACATTCTAAAAAGCTCAAAAAATCTGATTTGCATATTATGTGTCCTGTTTATTTAGTCTGTTTATTGCTCTGCCTGGTTTTTATACTTAATGTTGATGAGGTTTGGAGCTTCTGACTTGACACGTCACTAATTGGTCTCTCTAAATAACACTGGGCTGCTCTGTGGGACCAGATTTCACACACCATGAGAGAGGAGCCTGGGGACGTTTTACCTCAACATGGCTATTTTAAGTGTGACAACATGGCAGGGCTGGCTCTGGATCGCAAATCAAGCAGAACATTATCGGCTCTGATGTGAAGTGAAGATGTGATGTTGAGTGAGTTTGACATGTGACAAATTGTGATGATCGGCACTCAGGCTTCATTTCTAGAGACCTGCTTTCTTCCAAGATTAATCACAACTGAATCGAAATCACATTTGGAAGGTTAGGAAGGCTATTTGTATATATAAATTACAAATACTGGAATTATTTAAGCTTCTATGTTACTCAAAATTGACACTTTTGAGCTTTGAGCCAAATTAGAATGTTGTTACCTCCTCAAAAACGTACCTGGAGTTGTGTTTTGTTTCATTCACACATGTTTGAGTAATCCTGGTTTATTAGTCTAACTACATCTCTAAAGCTCAAAATGCTCAGTTTCACCTTGTGATGTCACGAAGTGCTAGTTTTCAAGTTGAGAGAGAAGAACAATTTAAATATGCAGGATTTGTGTGTTTAAACATGTGTGAATGTTTTTGATGAGGAAATCAGATCAGAAAATAAAATAATATGGGCCCTTTTAAATTAAATGTTGTGTAACTGTTGTTTTTAGAGAAGGTAATTTGATGGGCATTTGCAGTAGTAGGCTGTATGATCATGATAATTGTCTTGACATGTGACAAAGGTGTAATTTATGTCCATTACAGGCTTTACATAACCCCATTATGTGAGCCTGATATAGAATATAGCCTCTCCTGCTGCTAGAGGTGAGTGAGTAGTACTAGTGATATTTTTACTTTATATTGGATACGAGCAGTTATTTGAGTCATTTGGTCATTCCTTGGGCTATTACAGCTACCCTCGCTTTGAAGGTGCACTATGTAATCTCTGTGATGGAGAGGTTAACCTGATTATAATAAGAGTGCAGGTTTTTCAAGTTCTTTTTGCCATAGGAATGAATGTAATTAAATAAATGCAAGCGAGATGTATTAAAGAGCCCATTTATGTTTTCTCTTCATAAACATACCTGGAGTTATGTTTTGTTTAATTCACACATCATCACAAGATGGAATAGAGTAATTAGAGCTTTGGAGATGCAAACTGACTAATAATAATAAAGGATTACTCCTCTGAATATGTGTGAATAAAACCAAAAAAACAACTCCGGAAATGTTTATAGGGCAAAAACAACATTATAACATGGATTAAAACTTATAAGTTAAATTTGCGTACGAAGTCACACCAGCCAAAAAAATGCATAATGAAGAAGAAAAAAAACATATATAAGTCGCAATGGACAATAAGTCACCTTTTGGGGGGAAATTTATTTTATAAACTCAGAGACCAGGAACCGACGTTTCATCTCGAAAGGCAGATTATAATAATAACAATAGAACAGAGAACAACAGATTGTTAACGTCACATATGAACAGTTCTTCAGATAACTAGAGCATAAACAACAGAACAGAACAAGTTTACCAAACTCTCTATCTCACTCCAAATCACTAAATCCATTGAATTCTTCATCCTCGGTGTCACTTCTGCACAATTCCGCGACCTCCAGAGCTAAATGAAGTTCTGCTTTCTCTTCTGTGTAGCTGTCGTCATATTCAGCATCAGTTCCAGTCAGAATTATTCCAGCCTTTCTGAATCCCGACAGGATGGTTTCTGTTGTCACTGAAGTCCAGGCTTTGTCGATCCATCCAATGACTTCCGGGAAAGTTGCCTGGTGCATCCTCCCAGTTACCATGAAGCTGTGTTCTCCATTCCTGCTTTCTGCCAGTCCTTCACAAGTTTCTTGCTCACTCCGAACTTTCTTTCTGCTGCTCAATTACCATTTTCAGCTGAATATTTCACTACTTGCAGCAGGACAGCGGCTTTTTCTGCAGGAGACATTTGCAGTGACAGTGTTACAAGAGTAATAGGAGTAGCAGACACTGGCACATAAGCCTAGAGCCTCTCATGACTGTCAGTGTGAAAATTCGCACCAGAATATGAGACGCAGGACCACCAAAATGATGAAAAAAAGTGTGACTTATAGTCCAAAAAATACCTTTAATACCATAATGTATACGCAAAGACAACATCTGTGTACTATTAGGTGGCAGGCCTCCCACCAGAAAAGTTCCACAGCATATCTTTAGTTAGTGTACAGTACGCTCCGCATTTTCTTAGATTTTGCACATAGTTTATTTTCACAGTTTTTGTATTAAAAAGAAAAGCAGCAGTGCCCGCCCTCTGTTTTATGCAGAGCAGAGGTGGTAATCTGACATTTGAGTTAAATTAGATCAGTTTGATTCAATCCATTTTAGAAGCTGCTTCAGACTTGATTAAATTTTCATGGAAAGTCGGAGATCAAACACTACAAGAGTAAAAAAAAAAAAAAAAAAAAAAAAATCACAAGGATACGATTACACAGTGAGGGCTGGGTGCCTCATTCACTCTCATGCAAAATGCAAAGTGAGCCTAAATAATTCTTCATGAAAACACTTCTGGGACTTTACCAAACCCCAGGAATGAACATTGATTAAATAAAAGACAATACTGAATCTGTCAAAAACTGATCTGCACTAATAAATAAATGCAGAGAGTGAACTTCCTTTGCTCTTTTATTTACTAAAGTCGTTCACTGTTAAATTCTGTACTAATTTATTGTCTTTTTAAAGGTGCATTATGTAACTTTTTTGGTGGGGGGTCCATCAAATGCTTTTCTCCATGAAGATGTTATTGATTTGAGTGGAATGTTTCACTGTATGGCATTAAACCTTTTGCTCTTCATGGAGACAAAAACAGACGGAGTTACAGGTCAGATCTGCGGAGAGGCTCACAGTCAGAATGCCGTTGTTCTAGGTATTTTTGAACTGTAAAATCCCCTATAATTTAATAAACGTAATATAAAACTGGTTAATGTCATACTGTGGAACATTCCAGGCAGAGCAATGACATCTCCATACCCTCTACCAGAAAAATTACACAATGCATGTTTAACATTTCAACAATTCTATTATATATAACAATTTTTCTACAATTTTCTTCTGCCCAGCCCAGTCCAAGTCAGCACACACATCACTGTCCCTCTGTCTTGTCTTGAGGCTTTATATTTTCGATCTATGGTTTGAGATTGTGCCATCGGTCTTGAGTCTGAACCGTTTTACTCTGTCTCTCTGAGTAAACAAACTGATGTGTGCTGTTTCCAGGCAACCAGAGAGGTGACAGGACCAGGGAGTGAAGTGTGTATCTGCATGTGTGTGTGTGTGTGTCTGTTTGTGCGTGTGTGTGTGTGTGTAGATCATGTGCAGGTTTAATAAGAGAAAATGTGACACTACAAACACCACTGTTACTCTGTGGCTCTGGTGAAATACAGTTGGATATTACAATGTGAACAGGGATGTGAAAAAACAGAACTATTGTGCAGAATCAACTTTTTAACCGTGTTATAATTTTTTACCCTCTCAAACTTCTAGCTGATTCTCCGATCAACCTGTGTTTTCACTATCGGTATACGCCACTATTCT